CTTAGTGTTCTTGACCTCTTGTCTTTTTGTCCTTTCATCCTGGGAGTAGTAGTGACTTCCTGCTTTTCTGCATCTCAGGATGGCCTCACTAACCCCTATTTGACCTATTAGCTTGCTCATCACCTGTGTAACCAATGCCTTGCATTAAGTCTCTTTGACACTTGGACTCTTTGAAGTAGTTTTTGTCTTCCTGACTATGTGTCAGTGACACTTTTTGAAAAGTTGAATTTTCAGTTGTAAGCTCAAGGTATTGCACACTAAGTCACACAGATGGGAATCTTAGCAGGAGATATAATTGGGACTTGAGAAAAGCCTGATTCTCTGGGCTTTTCCCCAACACCTAATTAATATATTCCCTGGGGAAGGGGCAATTATTCCCATTGTACAATGCAGCTGGCATGCATCCTGGGAAAAGGGAGTTTTTAATGCTTCTCCCCAGATCACTGGTTTGAATGCTCCAAAGGACGTGACTTATGCATTAGTTTCTCTTCCAAGCAGAACTCTTTATTACTATTATCCTGTTCCCTCTCCACTTGGGGATTTAGGAATGAATAAATATCTTCTGGGCTTAGATTGCTGGGTCATCTTGACCTGGCAGAAAGGAGTGTACCTCACCTATGTGTGCTGGACTAGGAGGTGGGTGTAGTAAGTAAATGAGATTTGGATTGCCTCCTTATGGGGAGGAGGTGATTGTAATTGGATTATAGTGAGACTTTGAAATTGAAAATTAGGAAAAAAGAGTATGTGTGGAAAAGAGATGCCAGAAAAAGATAGTAGGTATTTGTGGTCTTTCTTCCTTCCTTTCTGGAGAAGCTTCTTTGTCTGCCTGTCTGTCTCTGCTTCCTACTTCCTTCCATTTTTTTCTGATAATAGCAACTTAATTTTCTTTGGGAAATCACCTCTTTCACACTCTTAGTCTACATAGTATGGTGGTATTAACACTAACTCTTCCTCTAGGGATCGGCAGTTAACTCAAGCCTGGCCAATCTCCCTGGCAAAAATGATTGTCCAGGATGGGCACATGTCCTAATTGAAGTCTATGAGATGCAAAGTTGTAACTTTTGAAAGGGAAGCATTCACTATTGTTCGTGTTGGACTGTAGTTGTGAGGCTCTAAGTCTGGTGCTTCTAGCAACCATCTTGCCACCATGAGAGATGGGCCTGCCTGAGAATGCAGTCAAGACACAGGAAAGCAAAGATGAGAGACAGAAAAAAAAAAAAATTCTTGATAACATTGTTGACCTGCTGGATTCAGCTGTGCCAAAACCCAGAACTGGCTCCTAAGCTTTTGAGCTATGCTAACAAGTAAATTCCTTTCTCTAAGCCTATTTTGAGATATGTTTTCTTTTCTTCCTTCCTTTTGCTGAAAGAACACCATAAAAAGCTTCTATATATTTATGCTGTCTTTTATATACTGTTCTTTCTCTCTCCCTCCATTTTGCTGAAAAGTACTGTAAAAAGCATCTACATATTTATGTACATCCTGGAGCTAAAGATGACTTAAATTTAGTAAACAGGAAACTTAAAATACTATTTATAATATACAAACAAAACAAAATCCCCCCTTTTAATATTATGGCATGCATATCAGGGACAATAGCATTTGGTTTTAAAAAATCTATGGCCCTCTGGCCAGGTAGCTCAGTTGATTACAGCATCGTTTCTGTACATCAAAGTTGCAGGTCTGATCCTTGGTCAGGGCACATACAAGAAGCAACTGAAGAATGTATAAATAAGTGGAACAAGTTGATGTTTCTCTCTCTCTATCCCTCTTTTCTCTCTCTCTCTCTAGAAAGTAGATAAATTTTAAAAAACCTATGGTCAATACATTTCTTAATTCTCATGTTGTATTGTTTGGTAATGTTATAGTTGCCAATGAAGTTGATACTAGGGCACTATGCATACTTTTTCTATTACAGGAATTTAGGAAGCATATTTAAAAGAGACTACATTATCACTCACAAAAGTTCATTAATGTGTAACCAATGGAATACACCACTGAAAGTAAACAAACATTTTCTTTATGAAATTCAATGATCTCACAGGGAAATGACCACTTAATAGCACATACAAACTTTTGCTCTTAGGCCCTTGATCTGTATTAAGTCAGTGGGCACATGTATCAGCATTGCCTGTCTGTTTAGGTATAGTTCTGGCCAATTTATGATGAAACCTCATTTTCATATAATTTAATTTTTATGGAGATGGTTGCTTTGTAAAATAAAGTTGACTGCCAATGTGAAACTTTTCAAAAGTTTAAGGGAACAGTGATTTCTTTATTTCAAAAATGATGGCTTTGAGTGTTTTTTGGTTAATTTTTCACTTAGCTTTGGGAAAAAAATCAATTGCAGAGTTTTAGAGTTGGAGAGGAATGTAGAGCTATTTCAGCTCCAAACCCTTATTTCTGGGTGGGGAAAACACTGTTACCGAGATATAAAATGGAAATAGTGGAGAAAGCATTTAAGAATTTGGCAACCACAGAGTAGGAAGGAACTAAGCTGTTCTCTCTTTTTTTGCACTTACTTTTACTTTCTCATGCCTTTTCTCAGGTCTACTTCCATGGGTACAAGAGGGGATTCATAGATAATTTTAGAATTACATATTTCTTTCTCTTTATTAGTATGTATTTATTGATGTTGATTTTATTTGTTGACTCTCCAACCTTCCAGAGTCATTGGACAGCAACTCTATAAAATGCCAATTTTTATTATTGCTCTATTAATAATGCTAATAAAAAGGATAATGTTGTACATCTTTTTGGCAGTGGGGAAAGAGACAATGGAACCCTGGCAATACATTTCAACAGCAGAGCAAGAAAATTTGGTTAGAATGGTTCCCCATGCTTTCTACAAAGTCCCATCTTTCTCTCAACTTCTTTAACTCTCAGGAAGAACTGTGTAACTATACTCAATGAGGCTGCGTTTACCTGACCCAGTGTTCACTCAGCCTGTCTGATGAGGTGCTACACAGGAGGCCGCACAAAGGCCCATCGTGCCTGAGAATTAGGCAGTTTTTCTCCATTTCTTACTAGGTGCTGTGTATATAGGATCTTAATACAAACGTTCTAATGAACTAAAGAACATGAAAATGAGACAAGTCAATATTTCACTAGATTAGAAAACTTCCCAGAAAATACATTTGCCCATCACTATTCATAGTTCTCAGAACTTTCTGTGATGTAGCAACAACATTTGAAATTATGATTTCATACGAGAACCACTTTTTAATTTTTGAAAACTATTTTTAACACTTAAAATTACACACAATACAAAATAGTCGTTTTACAAGTTGAAATCTTTACAGTTATGGTACAGTTACAGTAATGCAAGTAATATTAGTGCATTCACTTAGAGCAGAGTTATTTATCTTCATTGGGCTTAACACAAAACCAAGAATGAATTATTTGCTGAAATTGCTTTCTATCCTTTGAATTAAAAAAGAAAAATTACTTCTACCTCCTTTATAGTATTGTCAGAATGAGAAACAATGCCAACAATTAAGTAGCCTGGTATTCTGTAAATGAGAGATCATATTCCAATAGCTTTTAAGTTGTAAATCGTAAAGTTTTGGCTATATACGTCTATCAAATTGTCATTATCTCAGCTTTCAGGAAAATTATGTCATCTTTGGTAATAGGCTGCCAACAAACAGAAACTATAGACTACACCATTTTTCCAAAGAATCCTGTATTTTAATGAATAGCTGAATAAATAGACATTAATTATAAAATTCACATTAAGATAGAAGAAAATCCAAACATTCTGATTGCTTTCTCTCTTAAATTTGATAGCTACTACAAAACATACTATTTATGTTAGGGCAAAAATAAGCTGAATCATGAGAGTGTAACTGGGAAGTGCTGGCAGATATATACAGTAACATGGAGGAGGCATAAAATAAAAGTGTTTATATGTACATAATTTTTCCTTATATTTTTGCATGGCGAAACACTGTTCTACAAAATGGGAAACACACACAGTAGACCACATGCAACAAGGACCAATACAATGTGCACAGCAGAATAATCAAACAAGACACAAGAACTATGGGTTTAAACAAGAATTTCAGAACAAAAAAAAAAAAGAAAGAAAAGGGAAGGATTGAAACCTGGAATGCTTTCTTATTGAGGTTTCAGATTATGAATTTGTCCAACAAGTCTTTTGATAGTTTTTAAAAGTTTCCACTTGACTACCTATGGATTACGTGTAGAGCTAAAAATAAACCATCATATTATACAAAACTTTGTATATTAGCATACAAAAGGTAACAATTTACTTTTTGTATAAAATATAACCTTTTGATAGTATATTTATTTCACATAAGTATAAATATAACCCAAAGAATATGTTTTAAGTATTTCTACCAAAATATTCTTTACAAAAGTTTACAAAACAAGTAATTTATTCATATTTACAACTTAGCACAGAAAAGATTCTGGGCCAGTGATGTTGGTATTGTTTAAAAAAGAGTGCTTCTAGAAATTTTAAAGATTAGGAGAGGGTTTTTCAGAACTGTCAAAATGTGTTCTTTTTAAGAACAGATACTTAAAGATTTAGTTATTAAATGACTTCAGTTAAATTACATTTGATAATTGAATATATGATTATATACCTGTAACTAAAAAGCTGAAGCTAACCTGTGTTACTCTGTAATGAAGAAAATGATAGTGATATTTTGCATCCATCTCAAATCAGCACATTATCTTCCCCATTTTACAGCTGATCTGTATGTGGGCACTGAGGTTAAATGACTCAACAAAAACTCTTTCTTTGACACAACGCTCAGCCCTGAGGGAGAAAACCTGGATATGAAGGGTCCATCTAACATGTGGCAATGATTCATCACTTCAGGGACAGGAGAATGAATAGTCTGCTATTAACAGATCACACTCCATTTAGCTGTTTACCCACATAATATGTCCAAATAAGGACAGATTATTTTTACTCTAAATTACGCTTTCTTTCAAATCCTATGAAATAGACTTGTACCCACCCACACCCGCCATCCTTTGTCTGATCTTTTGTTTCTTGTCTTCTACCAAACATGGTACCTTCTAATCTCAGTTTTGACCTCCAAACTTCCTTTTCTTTCCAATCAGTCCCTAGTCATCAAAATAATCAGCGAGGACCAGACTCAATTTAACTCTACTTGGGAACTGACCAGCAGGGACCATTACAATACACAACAACCCAGGTTATTTGTGGCCAAATACATCTCCTTTATAGCAATGCCCGATGGGGTGCTTTCTTTTTTAAATTGTGAAATCTGATGCAGATGTATGTGCAGTAATATTTCACTATAACATGGACAGGTTGTGATTGTATCTAACACTTGAGAATGGACTTGGAAATTGGTTGTGGAAGTCCAAATACAGTTGGACAGCTCTGCACTCATGTTCCATCACTAGATACAGCATCTTACTGAGGTACAGGATCAGTGGGAAAACTGAAAAAGTGAGGGGTGAATCTGAGAAAGATATTCTACAATTCACTGGATATCCTCTAGTTTCTCCAGCTTTTCTTTACTTAAGACAGTGTTTTTGGTTACTCCAAGCAAACCTGTACCATTTCAATCTAGGGAGTTTTAGGAAAACTAAATGAACAGATAAAGTGGAAACATGAAACCACATATATCTATTAGAGCAAATTAAGGAATTTGTTGCTTGTTGATTGGAACTAATACCTCTGCATGACATGGGATTTAAACAAGCTAAAAGTTGTATTACTTTTCTTTCAGGGAGAGGAGGAACTTGGGGAGCCTATTTTGCACAGCTAATTACATGTCAACATTACAGTTCTGTTTGGACAAATTGGATACTGTGTCCTGGGGTTTAGGCAGGGAAAAGTGATCCCAATGTTTTACTTTCAGGTTTGAGATTGAAAACGAGCATTTGGACCAAAATGTACATCAGCACATTTACTTTCTGCTTTCCACTTTTAAGCCACGGTATCTTCATGCAGTCCTACTAAAAGTCAACAGTTAGCCTTTCCAGAGTCCTTGTAAAATACTGCCTTCTAGTGCTTGCTTGGAGTTGGTGAATTGTCTCCCTTTTCTCCTTCAGGAGTTGTTCCCCAAGATTTCATCAAGATTGATGTCTTTCATCCAGTCGTCATTACCAGGCTCTGTCTTCAATAAAGAATCAATGAAATCAGCATCACTGTTTAGGGCAGGGCCCATGTTATCAGTCTGTTGGTTGAGAAAGTCAAAAGCTAAGTCACTGCCATGGTCAGTTCCTTGAAAAGCTCTGGAACTTTGGTTGGGCGAAGGAAAATTGCCAGGTGTCAGAGATGGTGGCTGGCTTATGCCTGTCCTTGACTGACTCAACCCTGTTCCTGACTGGTTCAAATTGGGTAAAATCTGAGTGCTTAGCTGATTGGGTCTGAGATTCAAACTTCTGAGTGGACCTATGGTTTGTCCATTCAATGTCTGGCCCATTTGGCTCATAGGTCTCATTTGCACTGCTGGTGTTACCTGATTAGGAGGAGCCACTGCCCTCTGGGAAAATTGTTGGCTACCTACCGCTTGTTGCAATGACTGGTTTGGAGTATAGGCTGCAGGTGTACCTGTGGGGAAGCGGACTCCTGCGGACTTCAGGGCTTCCTGCTGTTTGGTTGTTGCCTCTTGGGAGGCCCAGTTGGGTGCTGTTGTGTTATTTGTGATCATTACGTTCGATGTTCTCTGCGCAGGCATGCTTGCCATAGCATGGGTTAAATTTGGCCTCAGTTGTTGTGAATTGCCAACAGGTCCAGCTCCAAAAGTGGCCACATTATTATTACTACTTGGCCCTAAGGTAGGTGGTCGTGGCATTAGAGGGTTGTTTTGATTTGTTATCAGTTGGTTTGGGTTTCTCTGTTGGGTCAATTGATTCATTCCTGAAGAGATGCTGTATGTGCCAGGTTGATTGCAAGGCATATTCCCATACATCCCTATGTTCTGAACTGCTGTGGATAACGATGGCATTCTTGTTCCATGGGAAGTAGACATAAGGCTGGAATTTGGAGTTAAAATGCTGTGCGTTGAAACTGGGTTTGCCAAAGTCTGGTTAGAGTTTAAACTCACTGTTGATGAGCCACCTAAGAAAAAGAAGACAATTATATTAGTTCATAAAAGCAGGTTATCTCTTCTTCTTTTTTTTTCCCCCAACACTTTGCAAAAGCTTATCAAGGCCAAATGTACAGCCTTGAAAATTATGTCCAATCCTTCATGTGAATCATCCCTATTTAAGAAGCTGCCCCAAGTGGCTCCTGTGTCTAAAGGGTAAATTCCTCTCTCTTTAAACATCTGGAATTCAATGCAACAGTGCTTTAGTGACTATTTCCATATGGAAAGCCTTCTGCTCCAGGAGGTACAGTTAGTATTGCATTGTAATCCATACATCATGAGCTACATTTGCTCATGCCATTTCCCTCTTATCTGATGCCCATCTTGCCTCAACGGTCCTATCTTTTCTTTAAGGCTCAGGCCAAGGTCCTTCATTAAACTTCCTCTGATATTCCAGCCTCCTCTTCCCAGTAGCATTTGCTCTTTAAAGTTTTCATTTAACTTGATAACACTTAGCCTTTGTATTGGGAAATCCATAGAGCCTCAGAGGGCCTGCCAGCTACACTGATGCCTGTCAATAAGTGACAGGATGTGGGACTGCCCAACAATGGGCTGCTGAATGGAGCGGCTCCACACAGCAGATAGCAATTAATTAACACACTGAAATCTTTCTGGTTTGGGGAGATTAAAGTCATCATGGGAAGACATCTTGAGAGGCAAAAGTGAGATGTCGAAAGACTTTTTTTTCAAGCACATGCTGGATGATAAGTTCCACAGGGAAAGAATTTTTGCCTGTTTTGTTCACTCTCACATTCTCCAAGTATAGTGGATGGTGCAAAGTAGGTATTCAATTGATACCGAATGAAGGAATGATGGGTGAATGAGGTAGCGAAACAAAGATATAAGCTGGAGAAAGACAGCGTTTTAAAGTACTCTCCCTCTAGAGAATCAGAGATACTGAGAAACAGAACCAGACGCACATACGAATATCAGGGCGGCAGTATATGAGGAGAGCCTGGCTGCAATGGCAACGCTGGCACACCCGCTACTGCTTGAGAAAAGCTAGCACAGCACACAATATGAGAGACTCTTGGCTTTCCTGTTTGTTTAAAAATATGTCTCCAACTAGATGACATACCTATCGAAAGCAGGAGCAGTATTCTTTGTATCTTCAGACTTAGCATGGTGTCCTGCATTGTGTAGGGCAGAAAGTGTTTGATGCAGAGGGATCAGAGTCAGGTAGGATGACTCTGACTAAAGGGAGTAGTCAGAGTCATCCTATTGTTCAAGTATTTCAAGTAGGAAATACTTGAACAACAACTCAGAGTCCACAGACTGCTAATGAGGTTAAGCAACATCATCTTGGTATCTGAAGGTTTCATGAGAAGGGACTTTACACTATGAAAATGCTATGGAAAAAATGTAAAGGTTTATACAATCATTCCTTCTGGGTGTTATTTTAATGATATGCCCTGAGATGGTTTATGAGGAGAGCAGTCTTTTTAAATAACCAGAGTACAGATAATTTCCATAAAGGTCATAAATATTACTCACAATTAATATTTAAAAACTCATGATATATGGTAGAAATTTTTCCAGCTGATTTTCAGGCATCATTTCTCATATTGACACCTGAGCAAAATGATTATTATTGTATTGAGATTAAGATAAAAATGATAAAAAAGAGTTAGTGTTCTGCTTATTGCTCACTTCATTTTCAGAATACACAGAAATACCACACTCTAGGGCAGTGACTTTTACCTACTTGGGGGTCAGCATTGGATGCTGAGGACCCCTCCCTTAGGAAAATGCCCATATGCACTGTGGAAGAGACGTCTAGGTGCCTACCAAAATATCCAACTTCCCTGTCTTTCTTAGAAACAGACCCTTGATTTTGTAGTAATGTTCTAGCTGAAAAACCACATTTCCCAAACTTTCTTGTTGATGGTAGGGCCAGGCAGGGCGGGGGGGAGGGGGTGTGCGGGGCAGAAGGTGTCCATATGAATAAATTCTGGCTAAAGATAGAAATTATTAGATGAGAGTCCAAGAAAACTACTTTTAAGAGGGAATCTGGTTCATATTCACTGAAGCATTGTTTACAATAGCCAAGATGCGGAAGGAACCTCTGTCCACTGATGGACGAATGTATGGAGAAAATGTGGTACATATATAAGGCTGGGCGAAGGTAGTTTTACGTTGTTCGTATGGAAAATAATACAATAATAAGTAATACAAGAATAAACTCTGTTTTGCACACTCACAACTGTCAACCTACTTTTGCCCCACCCTGTGTATATACAATGGAATACTACTCAGCCCTAAATAAAGATGAAATATTGCCATTTGTGACAAGATGGATGGATCTAAGTGAAATAAGTTGGTGGAAAAGGATAAAAACCATATAATTTCATTCATATGTAGAATATAACACCAAAAAATAACATATGTACTAACAAAACAAAAAACAAACTCACAGATCAAGATAACAGACTGGTAGTTACTAGAGGGGAAGAAAAATGGAGCGGTGAGTGAACTGAATAAAGGGGGTCAAATACATGGTAATAGAAGGGAACCACACTTTTGGTGGTAAGCACACAATAAAGTATACAGATACCAAATAGTGTTGTACATCTAAAATTTATATAATGTAATTAACCAATGTTACTTTAAAAAGTGGTTTGTTGTGTTTTTTTTTTTTTTTTTTAAAAAGGGAATCTGGCTCATTTTGAGGCCATGTTTTTCATTCTTCCATATTTTCTACCTGCAATGCGGATGTGAGGGCTGCAGGTATGGTGAGCACAAGCACCCTTCGTCTAGAAGCTGCCTGCCAAAGATGGTGGAGCAGAAAGACAAAAGAAGCCTGGATCCCTGATAACATGGTAGAGCCACCAAGCTAGACTTAGACTACTGTCCTTTGGGATTCTTTTATATGACTGAGGAAGAAAAGTCCAAACACCCACCTTGAATTTTGTATATTTCAAAGGTAGCTTCCCATAAACCCCCTCATAGGCTATTGTATTAGAAGCCATGTTCCAAATAAACCCCATCTAGTCTTTCAACCTCCTTGAGGACAGAAACTAGAGAACCTTGTTTTTGCCCCAAGGCAAAGCAATCTTAGGGAGCAGAATACATATGCCCCATTCCTAATTTTAGTGGAGAGAGGCAATCTGGTGCATTTGAAAAAATTGACACAAATCAGAACAATGTATTTATTGTTTACAGCCCCTCTTTTTAAAGACAATCTTCTCAATGGCTTCCTGAACAGATAAAGATAACAGGTAAAGCAAAAAGAATTTGGGAAATTCCAGGACAAGCCTAATTTACATGAGAAAGTGCAGTGAGTTCTGGGTAGAAGAGACTTGAATACAAAGTGAAGAGGAGAAGGCAGGACCAGCAAAGGCTCTGTTTGGGAGAAGTCTTTTGGAGTTCAGAGAGTGAGGGGAGAGATTGTAGGGGCAGTGCTTTGTTATATTGAGAGATCTATTAAGAAGTTTTGCTTTGTATCTGAAAGGCAATCACCTTTGGTATTTTTGGGAGATTTCATAAAGACTTAAAGAAAAGTATGTTTACTGATTCTAGAGAGGGAGAAAGGAAGAGAGAGAGAAACATCCATGTGAGAGACAAACATTGATTGGTTGCCTCTCATTTGTATGCCGACTAGGGACCGAACCGGCAACCTAGGTATGTGCTCTGACCAGGGATTGAATCTGTGACTTTTTGTTGCATGGGTCAACACTCCAACCAACTGAGCCACACTGGCCATGGCTTAACTTGTTCTTTATTTATTCCTTGGTGGCAGGACTATCTGTTAGAACATGACTCCAAAGGTGCAGACAAAAAAGTTTGGGCTTTGAGCAAGTAATATGGCTCAGAAAGAAATGTCTAGTTACTTTATACTATATGCCTCAAGACATGGTATTAGGAGGAGAAAGGTTGAACCAAACAGTTAGAACATACTTAATATTTTTTTTTGAACTCTCAGAGGTGGCATAGAGAGCAGTGAAATATGTGAATATGGGACAAGATTAAGCAAGAAATGATGAGAAAACTAAAAATAGTTGAGTTTGGTCTTGAACTGAAAGCTATATGGGAGCTGGTAAAGGAGTCTAAGAAAGATGTTACAGCTAAATATGAGATGGGGAAAAGAGTAAATATTAAAAACTGAACAGTTTTCTTCTTTCCGCTGTTACAATTTCTATTAATTGTTGAGAAAACTTACCAGAATACTGAGCAGTTGGTTGTATGTTACCCACATTTCTTCTTTGGTCTTTGTAATCCGGGGGTGGCCTTGTCAAATGTCTGTTTATCTGATCTTGTGGAGCAATTTTCTCCTTGAAAACACAAATGAAAATATATTCAATTTCATTGTTACCTTCTCACTTATAAAAATTCAAAGACTATTATTCAAAAAAGAATATAAGAACAATCTTGCAGCCATAGTTGCGAATCATGGACCTTATTTAGTAGTCTCTCCTTTCCGTTTCAATAATGTTTCTGCATGGAAGTGTAATTTCTACTTTACTTAATATTCAACATGTGTTTTGGGTCTAATAATTTCCCTCATTTTCTTTGTTTTGCAATTAGGTTTCAATAAGGACTAAATTTGTATGGTTTCTGAGTTGATAGTTCTAGTTTTTTTTAATATTCACCCAAGGATATGTTTATTGATTTTAGAGAGAGAGGGAGGGAGGGGGAAAAGAGAGAGAGAGGTGGAGAGACAGAGAGACGGAGAGACAGAGAAACATTGATCTGTTGCCTCCTGTATGTGCCCCAGCCAGGAATCAAACCCGCAGTCTAGATATGTGCCTTGACTGGGGACTGAACCTGCAACCTTTTGGTGAGTGGAAGGACACTCCAACCAACTGAACCACCTGGCCAGGGCTCTGGTTTTATTTTGTAGCACACATGTTGTGCTTTGGCACCTATACAGGATGTGGCAGAAGTAGGTTTACAGTTATTCATATGGAAAATACAAAAATTAAAAAATAATAATACAAGAACAAATTATGTTTTACATACTCACTATCAACCTACTTTTGCCCCACCCTGTATATAGGTCTGGTTCAACATAGAAAGCATAGGAGTAGGATTTTTAGATAAAATACAGGACACTGGGGCATTCTGTATTTTTATTTGCTAAATCTGGCAACTCTCAACAGGAGGAGACATCAGGAGATAACCTATCAGGTACTGGTAGGGGTGCTATATGCATTTTACTTCATTTTTCCTCTCATAAACAACATTTGAAGGTAGGCATGATTATTCCCACCTCATAAATGAGGAAACAGAAGCTTCTTTAGGCTAAATAACTAGTCTGAGATCACATAGCTATAGAACAGAAACCAAATCCTGAGTCAAAACCTCAGGCTCTTTCCTGTCATACCATATAAGGGCCCCTTGCTGCTCTGTTTCTCTGCGCCCCCTTCTCAAAGCAGACATTTCCCAGGCTCCCTTCTTCTGTCTTCTGAAATCACCTGCCTTTAGTCTTTAGAGCAGGTTTCTTTGGGAGCTAAGAGAGGAAAGAGGGGGCTTTCTTTTTATATTGCAATAAGGGAGAACGCATAACATGGGGGACCCTGGGTGCCTCAGTAGGAGCATGTTAGAAAGAACCTGTTATGGGATTTAGGCTTTGGTTGGGTGACTTAGGGAGAGTCCAAAGGGAAGTGAGGGTTTGTTCTGGATTGTAAGCTGTCAGAAAGGGAGGTTGATTCTTTGATTGAGGAATGATGGAGTTGTCACTCATTTAGTTAAAGAGGGGGATTTTGATATTTTATGGGTTACACAGTAACCTTGTTTGTATCTGTTTTTAGACAAGATTATGAAGTGGCCTTATGTTGTCTCTTTTTAGCATGCTCTCAGAGTAGCCCTGTTGAGGTGAGCATTCTGTAACATGTCCAGCACGGGACAAAATGGCCTGGCTCCAAGTGCCATATCAGTTCTGGACATCAGGGGCTGCGTTTTTTCTTTCTCAGTGTGGATCAGGAATTTTAAAAAAAAATTGCTTCATTGCTCCACAAAGTAACCTCCACTTTCAAAGATAAAAATAATTGGCATAGGTAGATGGAGGACGCTGTAATTATAGAAAAGTCAATAAATAGAAAAGAAATCCTTGCGACAGATAAATGGGTAAATCAGATGAAAGCAACTTGTGGACGGCCTAACTTAGAAGCACTTAAACCATGTATTTCTCAGTTTCCCATCAAATTCACAACTTTCCAAGTGGAATAAATCTACCATACAGGGGAAAAAAACAGCCTTTAAACAACAATAAACCAAATTCAAATTTTTGTTTCTAAGAAAAAAAACACTTGAAAGTCTCACAGGGTTTTTTGGGCATCAAGTAAGTCATATAAAACACAATTTTGATGAGCTAAGTGTAAATGAATCAGAAACATATGGATTACATTTCTTTTAAATATGGGTTTACAAATTAAGGGAAAAAGTGGTTGGTGAAACTCTTTGGTTTTGCCCAAACCCTAAATGTTTAAAAAACAGCTTGAGATGTTCTATGAAGCCAAGTGTGGCAGCGTTCGCCCATTCTTGCTGTGAACTATTGTGCAAGCCGACTGTTTTGATTTTTATGCCGAGCATGGGACTCTCTGAAATCTTCTCTTTTTCAAAAGCATCTATTATTTTTTCTTACATAATTAGGTGTTTCTGCTGTTTATATTGAAGAAAATAGGGTTCATGTGCGCTGCATGTGTGCGTGTGTGTCAGAGAGAGAAGGAGAGAAAGCAGGAGAGGGAAGGGGCAGGGAGAGATATCAGGCTTTTGGTTCCCCATTAAAGACTAGATTTCCAATCTGGACTTATTTTATATATATTTAATTTAATTATTGACTTTTATTCCCCCGAGTGCTAAACCAGATTACTCAAAGCATTAATGTATACATTTCTAGAAACTTGAGTTTCTTGAACTACTTTGTTCACAAATGGGTTAGATTTAATGGTGTTGCATATGGGCTAATGCAGAACAGCCAGTTTGTCATTTCATGATGAAAAGCGTAAGACTAGATTCCAACACTGAATGGAGACTGCTTCATTTGCAAGAGAATAACATTACTACTCTACAAAAGTGTAAACTCACAGGCATCCCTGAGATCACTTCTGTGTAACATGAAATTAAATTTATCAACTAATGTCTCAGGATAACCCAGTATCTTGGACCTAAAAACCTTACGCAGAGATAATCTTCTATTGCACACATTTATCTGTCCTGCTTCAGTTTGCCATCTTAAATGTAAAATGTGGGTAATTCTAGGACTTCCCTCTTACTCTTATTGTAAGGATTAATCTTTTAATTCTGAAAAAACTCAGCATGGTGCCTGGCACATAGTAGGTGCACACAAAACATGTTGATAATTATGATGCCCATTGTAATTAAGTACGACTCATCTCTCCTCCTTGTGCTTCTCTGGTGGGAGAGTAATAGAAAGTAAGGACAACACACTTTCACGAGAAAATGTCTCAATTTAGGCACCTATCTGGCCTTGCCAACTGACTGCAAATGACTACAAAGCATATGCTAATGTAAGTGGTATCAAAGACTGTTTCTTCCTGGATATGCTAAAAAGTACAGGCACCCTCAATGGCACCCAAAGAAGAGGAATGTGAATGGTTTATAAAGACCACAAAAGCAGCAGCCTTGGTCTCATTCATCTCTCATGCTTTAGGCCCCTGCCCTTTGCACCTGTTCCAGCGGTGACTCAGCTGGGGTCCAATGGCAGTTATGAGGCCAGTGCCAGGACAGGACCCTCACGGCCTGTTTCCTTGCCTTTTCATCAGAACTGCAAATCCAGAAATTTAACCTCTGCCTGTTGTAATTCAACAAATTAGTAGCGCTGATTGGAATAATGAAAGCGTAACCAGGAAGTCAATCTTAGATTGTGCATTTCCCCCTTCTACTGTCTGCATTTCTAAGGTATTTAGTTTATAAGGTAAAAAAACAAACAAAAAAAAGTGGGAGTGAGTGAGTGAGTGAACTGGGGTTTTCAAAACTATGACTTATAGAAGAAATTAGATATGTCACTTTATGTCAGTGGTTCCCCTACCAGGGGTGTCCAACCTTTTGGTGTCTCTGGGCCACACTGGAAGAAGAGCTGTCTTGGGCCACACATTAAATACAAACACTAATGAAAACTGATGAGCGAAAAATTGTTTTAAGTAAATTTATGATTTTGTGTTGGGCTGCGCTCATAGCCATCCTGAGACAGGGCCTTGGTCTTAGGAGGCAGGAAGAGTTTAGATCAGTTGTGGAGGGTATGAGTAAGTCTGAGAATGCAGGAGGGATGAACAGATAAATACTGAAGCAGGCTTAATGTCTGGGTAACGTGTGGGAAATAATGGCCTTGCCTTTCTGTAAGGGCACTTCAGTATGATGAAGTGGGGACTACATTTTTAATTTTCTTTTAAAACACCTCCCATTCGGAGACGCTTTATTTTGAAAGTCAAATCTTGATGAAACTCCATGCTCACTTTTAAAACTCTCTTATCTCCAAAATCAGTTTGGATTTGAGTTAAGAGTTTTTCTGTTCACCATTTCTGCCCCTCAGGGTTGTGGATAAGACTGGTTTCTTTTGCCTTATTCAAATGCCCATGTTGGTGGTTCTAAGCATTCCTGAGCTGGGCAGGGCTAGTTAGCTGAGGTGCCATGCATTCCAACTGTCCAGCAGTAGGTAAATCAAGGGTTTTTTTTTTTCTTTTTTTTCCTGAAGCACTTAAGATGTATGGAATTAACCTCTCATAGCCAGAATACCCTTGTTGCTGTGACATAAGTGGGTACAGAGAAAAGGGCAGTAAGTAGAGATGGAAAATAATGAAGTCCCTCTGTTGGGCCAACAGGTAGGCGCAGTAGACATTAGGAGAAAGTTTTACCGCATCCACCAGCATCTGCTGCTGCAGGAGAAGTTGCTGTTTCTGCTCCATGATCTGCCTCTGTAGAGTCTGTTTCTTTCCCATCAACTGCTGATTCAACAGTGATTGCTGGGAGTTCATGTAACCACTTCCAGTGTTTGGATTTGAGCAGGAGTTGGGACTTGGACTGGGGCCTGTGTTCTGGCCTACCACAGAGTGTTGATCCTAAAGAAGAGAAAGGAGGAAAAAAGCTACTGTGAATTAAAGGAAGAAAAACGTATCACATAGATCATAAGCTTAGATTCCGAACATTTTTCATCTTGTTAAGATCAAACATGGTTAATGAGCTGGAGATCAGAGAATTGCTTTTTAAGTGTAGAAGAAATAATTGCATATCACAGCAACCAAAGCAGCTGGGTTAAATATATTAGGAACTGGAAAAGCTCCCATTTGACTCCGATAGTGGAACCTCCACATTCTAAAAGGTGTTTATGGAACCTCAAAGAAAACTACTATAAAAACATATGGCAAATCTCTCAATTGCTCAGCAACAAACACATCATAAAGTATCAAGTTCTTCCTTTTCCCTAAAGTTAGCACATATCAATGCGGATCCTGCAATAAAAATAAGGTTTTAATTAATATACTTAAAAGTTGAATAACTGGCCATGGCCAGGTAGCTTGGCTGGTTAGAGCATCATCCCCATGTGCCAAGGCTGTGGGTTCGATCCCCTGATCAGGGCACGTACAAGAATCAACCAATGAATGAATAAATAAGTGGAACAACACATCAATGTCTCCCTTTCCCTCTTTCTTTCTCTGTCTCTGTCTTTCTCTCTCTCTCCAGAATCAAGAAATAAAAGTTGAATAACTATTTTGAATAGAAGGGAGATAGCTTTCTATGATAAGACAGGAAGGCTTGTGAGTTCTGTTTTATGAACACTCGCAAAGTTGAAAGGGACTTCATTATTCAGAGGCTTGTTAATTGTATTCCCTGGTCAGTAAGTCAGATATCTCAGTGCCTAATCAATAAAAGAGCACCCAACCAATTGATAATGAGAAAGTATTGATTAAAAACTCACATCGTATATTGAATAATATTGGGTATTAGCGAATTGCCATTCTAATTCGAGGTCTCTATCAATCTTTACGCATTGACAGGTCAGGACCCTGCAGTGTAGAAAGCTAATTCCAGACTAATATTTTTATTAATTCCCAGTGATGTGTTCAGAATTGAGCTGTACGACGTTGGGATTACAAGAAAACTAGAAAACATTGTCCTCACGTTGGAGAGTTTATCATCTAATTAAGGAAGAGATTACATGCTTACATGTGAAAGAAAAAGCAAATATAGAATCAAGCTTTAAATTATATATTGCAAGTACTGAGTCAAAGATCCTCACGTTTTAATGATATTCATTTGGGAAGCAGACGCCCTGGCCTTGCTCTAGAAACTCTGAGGCTGTAGATCGGGTACCTGCTTAGGTGATTTCAATGCTCATTGGCCCAGGGACTGTTCTTTGAGAAACACTGGATATATGATAGCAATAAAATCCAACTCTTATTCCCCAACTAGACTGTGTGAGGTTACAGTGATTAAAAAGATAAAGGAACTCTCATTACAAGTAGTACTAGTAACAGTAGTAGTAGGTACTGTATTTGTAGGAAGTCTCTTCCCTTTTATCTCCTCATTCTTTAGTTATCTGCTGAGTTAAAAAAGCCTGGGGATATAGGAAGCACGGCCTTGCTTTAGTAATTGCTGGGCTACAGAGCTCACCAATAGCCTCAAAAGCAAGGGGATGTAAAATAATCTTAAAGATGACTATGCACCGAGGCTTATTATAGGCTCAGCGCTTTACTCAATTTCTCTTATTTCCTCCTCCAACAAAACAAGGAGCAAGAGCTAGTATCATCATCCCTATTTTGCAGCTAAGAGAGATCAGATAACTGCATGTCCTGGAGGAGGATCTGAAGTCAGGTGTCTTACTCCAGAACTCCAGTTCTCAATCACTATACTCTATTGTTTTGCAGTTGAGATGAGAAGCGCTGAGAAGAAATAGTTTCGTACTTTAAACCTGTGCCAACCCATCTGTCCATGAAGCAAATGTTTATTGAGCACTCCCCTGAGGGGGGTGGGCTCTCAATTAGGTGCGTGGAAGGGAGTGTGCTGGGGAGGAGGAAAGGGGTATGGGTACTGAGAGTAGGGCTGGTTCTCCTCACCTATTTTAGTTAAAAATAATTAAAGCCATCCCTGAGCAGCTTAAAGGAAACACCCTCTAACACACCTGTACCCAATGTCCAGTCAGTTCTCTCAACTTTAAATCCATCATGACTTTTGGGAAAGATTTCATCCCACCTGTGCTACAAGCCACTAGGAGTGTGGGCCGGGAGACAAGCATGAATGTCATCAACGGAATTGCAGCAGACGAAGATCTGTGAGTTGAGTGCTCTTGGACAACAAGTGGAGGAGGATATACATGGAAGGTTGAGTGTTGAATCTTTGGTCCACCCTCACTGAAGAGAGGAACGCAGAGCCCGTGACAGGGAGAAAGAAGCGGGGTCAGAGAAGTGTAAAGACAACCAGAATGATATTGGAGAAATCAAGGTGAGAAAGAATATATTGGAAACAGTGGTTGGCCCTCTACTCTCCATTTTTCCCTGAAAAGAAACAGTCTGCTCTTTTCTATGACATAATTAGGAGTTTAATGTAAGACTGTGTAAAAAAAAAGGATTTTGTATTTTAAAGATATTGTTGACAGACATATATAGAAATTAAATTCACTTTTCTTTCAGCCTTCTTTGCATGTCCATCCAGCAGGCAAGACTGTGAGCTCTAGAGATGGGCCTGTCGTGATTCCTTTCGCAGTTTTGGCTCTTACTAGCTGTGTGATCTGGGACAAGTTGATTCACCTACATAAACCTCAATTTCCTTATCTGTAAATGGGAACAACAGTGCTGACTTCACAGTGTCCCTGTGAGAATTAGAGGAAATAATACAATGCCAGAAATATTTGGCACATAGTAAGCACTTAATAAACAATAGCCACTCATAATTATTAGTTATTTTAACACAAAGGAGAAACGGTCTGTTTATTTGTTTGTGTGTTTGTTGTGAAGCAAGGGAGACAGGCCTTGCAGATTGCAGAAAGTTGTTCTGTGTGTCAACTCTATGAGAAATGTAGTGGTTTCGTGAGCTACCTGTGGAATTACATCCATCCTCCCTACGTGGAAATGTCAGAAGATGAGGTGAATGGCATTGTCTGATGGACTGTCTTTGAGAGTGCTTCTTTTATTTGGGTTAAGGACTCAGCTCAGTGCAACTGTTACTTTGTTCTTTCTGTGATGTTTTGTTTTTTAATTCCTTAACATCCAATTATTTATTAATAGAGTAACCAATATACATTTACTAAGTGTTGTACCTTCATTTACTCACTTGTAAAATGGAGGTAATTCTATTAATGACTAAAATTACGTCTGATGAAATTCAGAACAGTTCCAGGAACGAAGTAGGTGCTTGATAAATTTTGGCAATTAATATTTTTCTTATTTACTTATTTCTGTATTATTTTACATATGACAGAGATTGTTTAGAAACAATTACCTGTGACGGAGCTTGTGTTGTAAATATACTTGGATGGCAAGTGCGCTGAGTTTGGCTCCCACCATGTTTTAAACACCGGTTGGCCCTTGTGCTCTTCAATTGGCCACAGTCTCCACTATTCCCTATTTTATTATATCCACCCATTTTCCTCATTTTTATTACTTGCTTGACCCATGCAGACATTTGAAGTTATGATCTCTGGCTTGTAATCTACCTGGGAATCTAAGAAACACACATCACTTCCCCACATATGCACTCACCCAACGTTAGCATGGTAAAAAGCAATGCATGATGATTTCTATTAGGTGGTATGATACCTACTACTCCCTTAGAATGAAAATCCAGATCTCCTGATGCCTAGTCTATTACCCATGCATCCATTCATCCATTAATTAATTTGATAAATTTTACTGGATATCTACTATGTGCTAGGCAGTTTTCTATTTTTTGAAGATTAACAAAGTATGTAGAAAAGGGGAAAATGAAGAAAAAGAAAAGAGTGCTTAATGTTGGTAGCATTGGTGAACGTCATCAAAATAATTTCCAGTGAAATCTGGAAAACCACACCCCTATAAGACTGATAGAAGATCTGCATGCCAAGAAAAAGTAACCGTATCTCTTTCCCTCTCTAATCAAACAGATGGACTGTGCTAAGTCTAGTCTCATTCCTTCGCAACACCAAAAGATATAAAAATAAGAGATAAGCTCTCTTTTGGAATTTTGCAGAAAATTTTTAAACCTTGTAGCTTCTAGCCCCTGGGCCTTACCATGCATTCTACCATATACATTCTTTTAATTCATGACTGAAGTAATATTTGGCTGATGCTACATTTTTTGTCCTTACGTTAACTGTGAAACACAAAGCACCTCCTTACACAGGCTTGCTGTCATTGCCAAGATGTTGTGCAAACGTGAGTACATGAACTATTTTGAAAGAAAAATAGGCTCTGATGTGTTGGCTTTGGTTCCCACATTCAGACTCATTCTTTGCCTTACACTCAGCCCATATAGAACTTGACTTAATAGAATTCATTTGTTTCCCCCTCAACACTCATTTTCTCCTCAAGAGCATGTGAAGGCCATGGTAAAAATGGCACAACCTAAGCCCATTCATAAAAGTGTGAGTGTGTGTGTGTGTGTGTGTGGGTGAGATAGTGAATGAACTAGGTAGTTCCACTGATGTAGTGTTTTGTATGGTAGAAAACCTAGTTTCGTAGAGAAACCAGAAGTAAAGATTGATTTGGCAGCATATAATAACCATACACTCGTTCAAATCATGAACTTAAATGATCTTTCATTTTGTGTGTGTGTTTTTTTCTGCTTCTACCAATAAAATTATAGTATTTGGTGCTAATCTACAAAGTAGGCTTCTGGTCCTATCCTCCTGGGATTTAATATAACCTTACATTTGATATGAGCTTATAAATAATTTTCCACATCTATGTGAGTGTGTGTTTGTATTTAAGATTTTAAAGTCCTTTTGTAGTATTAGATAAGCCACTGAGTTAGAATAATATGCCAGTGTTTAAATATGGTTAAAGCTTCTTGATCCTTGATTTAGTCCAGCATAGGACTGCTAGAACAATGAGATCATGTCTCTACTTTTTTAAATAAATTTCTGCCA